ATCATCACTCCTTCTGTTCCAAGTTTTTATTTCCTCACCTGAAATGCCCATGGCTCTGAAAGGACTTCACCATGAGTTCATAATACCATTGACTCTAAAAATCTCTCCAAATGTTTCACTTAAAGATTGAGTAATAACATTTCTACAGATTGCAGCTTGAAGTCTTCTCTAGTCTTTCTTGAAGTCTCTGTAGGCTTTGATGCTGTCAATCATCCTCTTCTCCTTGATACTTTCTTCTGTCTAGGTTTTCATGGCATTCCTCTTTCCTGGTTCGCCGTTTGATCACTCCTTCTCAGCCTCCTTTGCTCAGTCTTCATCCAGGCCATTTCCAATAACCATAGGTATCACACAGGGCTAAGACCTGGGCCCTCTGTATTAATTCATTTGGTGATCTCATTAGCTCCCATGGATTCAATTATGGTTTCTCTGCTAATGATTGCCCAATTTGTTTTTCCAACCCCAGTCTCTCTGCTGACCCCCAGTCTCACACTTCCTTTCAGATATTTTGAACCATATGTCCAGCAAACATTTTAAACTCATCATGTCCCAAATAGAACTTATATTTTTCCCTATCCCCCTTAAATTCCCTATTACTACTTTGGGTACCACCATTCTCCCAATCCTTCAGGCTCATAACCTTTTTGTCATCCTCATCTCCTAGTCTCTCTCATTCCTCTCCCCACATCTAATCTATTGCCAAGGCCTGTGCATTGCACCTTTGCAGCATCTCTCAAATATACCCTCTTCTCTTCTCCAATACAGCCACCACCCCATTGTAGACCCTCATCTCCTCTTGTCTGGACTATTACAATAGCCAGCTAGTGAGGCTGCCTGCCACAAGTGTCTCCCCACTACAGTTTATCCTCCACTAAGCCACTGATGTGATTTTCCTAAAGCATGGATCAACAAATTCCAGTGGTCAGACTTGCCTTTTAGGAAAAATCATTTTGACACCTGAATGGCCAGGCAGGAGGTGCATAAGGCAGTTTGGCAAGACACTCACATCTCTACTTCCCATTCCTACTGGAGTTCAATCAACCTTCTTCTCCTACTCGTGGACAGTCTGATCTCTCAGGCCAAGTGGAAATCAGTTAGACTTATGATGCCTCCTCTCAGATGTTTTTTCCCCTCATCTGGGTAGGATTCTGAGTGCCCACCATGTAGCAGGTAGTACATTCAAAAATGCTTGTTGATTGATTTATTCCTATCTGTCTTTGTTGCTCATTAAGAGGGATGGTCTTTTTCTTTATCTTGATTTGGTCATTAACCCCTGCCAACTTGGTAACTGGTAACACGGTGATTTTTCATAGAGATTAACTTTCATAATACATTCACATAGTTCTGATGACTATAAAATAGGATAAAATTGGGCTCTTACTTGTTTTTATAGTTACAATTACATGGCAGCTAAAAAATTCATTTCGTATTCATTAACATATCATTATTTTAGTTTACTATTGCAATCAGTAACACATCAGCTACTCCTTTTCTTCCTACAAAAAAATGAAATAAGGATCAAATGCAATATTTGTAAATTGTAAATTGTAGAGTATTTAGTACAGCGCCTTGCTCATAGTAGGTAGTTAATAAATGCCCTTTTCCCTTTCTTCCTTTACTCTTCTCTACCTCTCCTCTTCCCTTCCTTTCCTTTCCCCAGAAGCAACTATGGGGATGAGGCAGCATGGTTTTCACAGCTATAACGTATTCCCTATCCTTCCTGCATTGGTTCATCTACAACCTCTTTAAATCCAGTATAAAGATTTACATATTTAAACACTGTGAGGTGGTAGTTCTTGCTTTAAGAGAGAAAAATTAGAATATAATTCTTTTAATAATAATGACTAGCTGCTTTATAAATATGATCTCATTTTATCCTCACAACAAACCTATGAGATAGATGCCACTTTGATCCCAATTTTACAGATGAAAAAACTGAGCCAGGCAGAGGTTAAAATGTCTTGCTAAGGGTCACACAGCCAACAAATATCTAAAGTTAGATATGAACTCAGGTCAATCCTGACTCCAGCTCTGCTGCTTTATCCACTCTGCCACCTAGTTGCTTAGTGATATTTTATCTGGATGTAATTTACCATGCATGCAAGCTGCAATTGTGGGAGTGGGGGAGGAGTGGGAGCAGCCCAGATGGAAGACTCTCTTCAAGAGATAGACTTCAAGCCAAGGATTTTTCCCTGGCTAGATAAAGGTAAGATCACTTTAACTACTTCCTAAGTTTGTATTTTTGCAATATGGAGAGCAGAAGAGAAACCTGCAAAAAAGCTAAATTTAACAGGATGTAAGATCACCCTCCTGTCTCGTCAAACAACATATTGCCTGGGGGATAGAAACATTTTATGAATTCTATTTACTATGTGTATATTTCAAGGATTTGGGCTTTTATTGTTGTTCAGTGTGTGTGTGTGTGTGTGTGTGTGTGTGTGTGTGTGTGTGTGTGTTGTGTGTGTTTTAAGCTTTACCCACAAAAAGAAGCCTGGAAGAACTAGGACTTAGATTGAAACCTCTACCCCTGAGCACATTTTCTCCTAGATGACAGCTAGCTTTGTACTAGGAACCTTTGGGTTTTCCTCTACCAACCTGGAAGAGGGTAAAGGGAGTAGAGACTTCAAGCAGAAGGTCACACTCTGGCAAGCCACAGTGGCTTCTGATGACAAATATTCTATCAGGGAGATTGTTCAATCTCTTATTGTCATTCATTCATATTTACCTTTTTATTTTTCTCTTCATTCCTATGTTTGAATTTCAAAGATTCTATGCAGCTGTTATCATTTCATCAGGAATGCTTGGAAAACCTCTATTTCATTAAAAATCTATTTTTCCCCTGTAGCATTATGATCAGTTTTTCTGGAAAAGTTGGGTTTGTTATTGTTGTTGTTGTTGTTGTTGTTTTAACTGTGAGTCTATCTCCTTTGCCTCAGAAGGCAAATATCATATTCCAAACTCTTTATTTCTTCATTATGGGGGCTGCAAAATTATATGTGGTCCTGACTGGCTTCTCAGTGTTTAAATTCTTTCTGTTTACTTGCAGTATTTTTTCTTTGAACTAGAAGCTCTGGACTTTGGCTATAATCTTCTTGAGAGTTTTCATTTCGGTATTTCTTTCAGGAAGATTCTTTCTATTTCCACTTTGCCCTCTGGCTCTAAGACATCTGGGCGGTTTTCTTTTGTGATGGGCAGTTTTGGTTTTGGTCATGATGTTCAAATAATCCAATAATTCTTAATTTTTTTCTCCTTAATCTGTTTTCTAGGTATTTGTTTTTGCTCTGATATATGTTAAATAATCTTTTTCTCAGTCTTTTAACTTAGTTTTAATATTTCTTGTTGACTGGCTTCTATTTTGTCCATTCTAATTTTCAGGGAGTTTGTTGCTTGGCTAAGTCTTTGCACTTTTTGTGCCAAGCTGTTAGTTCCCCTTCTGATTCTTTCTTCCATGGAAATATTTTTCCTTCAACTTTGTTGTTTCATTTGTTTAAATTTTTTTTAATTTTTTTAACTCTTGCTTCATCCCCTCTGGTTTAATTTGTGCCCACACTGCTTTTTCTTTGAGGCTTTGCTTGTAGATGATTTAGTCTTTATCTTCTTCTCATTTTGTGTCTGGAGCATCTCTGTCGTTTATGGTGTGATTCTTTTTTGTTTGTTTGTTTATTAATTCTTCCATTCTACTTCCTGACTTTCAACTTGATGTTAAGACTAGGCTCTGCAGCACTTCAAGATCTGTGTTGCTTCTGCTGCTGCTTTCTTTGGCCATTGAATGCTGTGTTATTTCAGGATGTCAGGGAAAGCGCAGGCTGGGTGCTTGCAGACTTTCAGTGCTTCTTAAAGTGGTCTGATCCAGTATGCTGCCCACCCTGGTTTGAGCTTTACAAGTCTTCAAACTGTCTTTAGGTCTGAGAAATAGTAGACGACTATAGAATTCAGCCACTATCATCTAACTGGAAAGCTCTGCTGGTTCAGAGAGGCAGACTTCTCATCTTCTCTGTAGTCTGGGATTCCTGCCCTAGTTAATCTTCTGTGGGTTTCAGATACAGCTAGAATCTGGACCGGAAATACTGCTAAGCTCCTGGGTCCAAGTCACCCAGCTGCTGCTTGCTTCTAAAATTGCTCCTTTTAGAACACAACTTAAGGACTACAAGTGTTTCTTACCCCAGAATACCACCCATGGGTGATATCTTCTCTTCAACCTGCCCTTGATCTTTGACCTGGAACTGTGTAGGAGGTGACAAATTTGCCAGTTAGCACCTGTTTGCACACTCTCCACAGGTTTAGGGCCCTAGATCAGGAGACACTTTTTGACCTGGTGCATTGCCTCTCCCTGTACTAGAACACTCTGTACTTTCTGGTTCTGATCAGATTTTGTCACCAGAGTCCATGGACGTCTGTGTATGTCCTCTGTGCTGCCCTGAGCTATAGAAATGACCCACTGTGACTTTTTCTAGGATTTTCTAATTTAGACTTTGTCTGATGCATTTTCTTGATCTGTTTGAAGGAGTTTGGGGGAGGAGGAAACTCATTTACTTCTTGCTACTCTGCCATCTTGGATCTACTTCAGAATGTTAACTTCTAAGATGATATGCAATATACATAAATTCAATCTCTCTTAAAGGTGAAAGTAATTCATTAAAAAGAAAATATATTTAATAAGAGATTGAATCTCAGACCTCAAATTTGTTTCATGTTGTGAGAAACTGACATTTATTTTCATTCTAGCAAGGCCAATTTAAATCAACTCGCTATGAGATGACTTCCAAAAAAAATAGAAATCACACCATAAACATGCAAGAAAAAAAAAATCTGGAAGTGATTACTACAACCATTCAGTTGTCTTTCTTCCAAATAGGGTTCCCTGGTGTGGGTGTGACTGAACAGCTAGACTCTCTATAGACTTGTTCAAGTAAAAGCATGCAGTAGGAAGGAAAAAAAAAAGAGAGAATTCATATTACTTAAATGCCTAGAGGAAACCACCATCCTGCAAACAGGATGTCAGCTTTGTCAGAGAGATCACAAGTAGATGTAGGGTTTGGTCTTAACCTCAGTCTCTCTTCTCTTATAAAACTAAATATACTGATTTTAGTCTGCCAGGCATATCTATTTACCTTGAGTTAGTAAAGCATGGCTGCTAGAGAAACTCAGCTCTACACAAAGATCTCTAAGAAGCTTAAGGACCAAATTACCTTCCCTTTTTTGGAAGCACTTCTGGCTATGGGGTTCCCAGCACACACAGCGTGAGTACTGTTTTCTAGAAATGTTGTTTTTGATATGCCTGAAAGTTTGCCTTGGAGAACCTGAAACTTTGAGCTCTTTGAAATTCAAGCCATAGGCATCTGTTACTACCACTCTGTCATTCTCGGCTTATATCTCAAGCTTGAAACTCTTCCTCCAGAAGTTTAACTGAATATTAGACTCTTCATTTTCTTTAAAAAGAAAACAACATTCTTTAACTTTTTTGGAGGTAAATATTTTCAATACATACTCTAGGTAGCTCAGAACATTACAGAAATACTTTGGTTAATGAAGATTATCACATGGAAGGTTTGTGTGTCAGGGAGTACTCCATCAATCAATAAACAATAATTTATTGAGTGTCTACTATATGACTCAGCAGTTTTATTAACTACCAAGGTAGAGTAGTAAATGCTAAGTTTTATTAACTACCAAGGCAGAGTAGTAAATCAGTTTGTGTATAGCTATATTTACTTGTGAATGGATCTATCACATGTGTCTTGGGTTCCTCCTTCATTATCTGCCATGTCAATATGCTTTCTGTCAAAAAGTTATACATTATTAACCCCCATTTTGCAGAAAAGAAAACTGAGGCATTGTTATCACCAATAATTCATTATTTATTTGGATACCATGTGATTCATTTAGATTAAGACTTCTGTGTTAAACTGACTTTAGGGTTTGTTAGGAAGAGTATGTTTTCAAATCCATAATTACCAGGATAAAAGTTCTACAAATTTTATCTTTAGGGCACAAGGAAATTTTGAGGTTTTGGTTAGAGACAATTTTTTTAAATTAAATCTTAACATTAAAACAGGGTAAATTAAATGAAATAACCTTTGGTGCTTACACTTCTCTCCCTATACTGAATTATCATCATTATCATTTTGATCATCCAAAAATAGTTTTCTATTTGAGTATGGATCAATGCTAGATGGCTTGCTAAAAGAAGCAATTCATTTCAACAAACATTTCTATAACATTTCTCATTTGGACCACAAATAAGCCTCTCATTTTTCTTTTGGTTGTTAGTTGGGGTAGTGTAATTCGACAAAGAATGGTTTCCAACATGGATGACCTCTTTCTGTACCTCGGTAACAATTATCCTGACATTTGCCTTAGAAAAGCATTTAGAAAACACTTAATAAGCATCTACTAGTACAGAGTTCAAATCGCTTCTTGCAGAAAATATAAAAATAAATATTCAGCATCTCAAACTCAACTTATCCAAAATAAAACTCATCTTTCCCCCAAAACCTACCCCTTTTCTGAAATTTCTTCTTTATGCCAAGGTCACACTATTCTTCTAGGTATCCTTGGTGTTATTCTTTACTCCACATTCATTAGTCCCTACCCTACCCCTTTTACCCCATCTGAATTAATTGCAAAATATTGTCTTTTTGAGCTCCCCAGGGATTCTTACATATACCCTTTATCTCTATTCTCATAGCCACTATCCTAGTTCAGATCCTCATCACCTCCGGCCTAGACTAAAACTAAATTAGTCTCCCTACCTGAAATCTTTCCTCACCCCAATGCATTTTCTACCCAGCTGCCAAAATGATTTTCTGAAAGCACAAGTCTGGCCATGTCACACCCATAATTAATAAACTCCAGAGCCTTTAGAATAAGGCACAGATTTCTCTGATTGGCCTCTAGAGCACTTCACAACCAGAATCCAACCTACCAAGGTTTTCCAACCTTGTATACATTATCCTCCTTCTTTCATTGCATGTTCTAGCCACACTTCAGAAAAACGGATTTGTAATAACCAGAGATTAAGCCATAATTTCCTGGAAACTAAATCCAACCCAAACTCTCCTAGAAGTATGATCTGACATTAGTTCAGAAGGCATCAGTGCCATTCTGGACCAGTGTCTGCACCCATCCCTATGGCTAGAGGAAAATTACACTAATTTTCAAGGATAGAGAAGGCTTTTGTAATTCACTCAGCAACTGAGTTTCCTAAAGAAAAGATTTGAGCCCTTTTTGGAATATTTCTTGGCACAAGCCCTGCTTGCTTTTCAAGAGCTGTTAGGGTCAGATCAAAATGATGTTAATGATAGCTATATGTTGTTATTTGTGAAGCAGTATTCCCTCATTGAACAAAATAATTCTATAGATATAATGAATGTATTTTCAGGAGTTTAAAAAAAAAGGAGTTGGATAGATAAAATCAACCAATACTTGGTATCTTAATTGTATAGACTTTTATAATAATATGCCCACTGTGGAATTTGTAATCTTTATAATAAAAAAATCTTGATTACTTATCATCACTTCCATACCACCTTTACTCTGCCATCTGCCTCATATTTATTACATAAATAAGAACTATACTATATGCATTATAGAACATATGTATAAGGGTAAGGATGGAGCATTTTCATGAGTAATCACAGTGTTCTTTTAACTTATGATTCTCCATTTTGTGCCTCTCAAATTTCTTGTGATATATTTTATAATGCTTATCAATTTGAATTTTTAAGTACTATTTGATGAAATATTAGAATTTCCATGTGATTCCAATAATTAATAGAAATGATTATAGAATATACAAAAGCTAGATTATTCTGGAAAATCCAGAAATATTAACTATCTAAGTCTAAATGTGGTCATAGTTTCCATTTACATCCATCTTATTTTCTGGATTTTTAAATTTAGTTCTTAAAAAAAAAAAACATGCTCGGGGCCTAGATTTGATAAATAAGTGATTTCCCAATTCCATTTTGTTTGTGTCTTTAAAAGATTTAGTGACAACTGAAAAAGATCATTAGGATGTTCCTTATTTTCTTTCTCACTTGTGTGGTTTTAAGTCTTGATCTACATTCTATGTTATGTTTTCCACAGACAAAAAGCACTGGCAGCTACAGGAAGAAGGACAGTAGAAGAGGCATCAGAATGGTGAGTAAATTTGTTTTTTGTGTTGACGTTATGACAATTCAAATTGTTCTTCTCTCCCCCCTCAGAACTCCTATCTTTCAGCATAGTATTATTAAAACCTCAAAACTCTATTCTCATAGCCACTATCCTGGTTCAGGATATGGGGCTAGGCTATGTGTTCAGAGGTAAAAATAAAATTAAGCTATCTATCTACTAAGAGTTAATACATATCAAATAGTAGATAGATTAGAAAAAAAATAAAGTAGCTGGATTGAAAAAAAGAACATAGTCATTTGAATAGCAAAAATTATACTCAACTTTTGTTCTTTAAGGAAAGAAAATGTTAATCTATGTTTCTTTTAGAATAGTTTTTATATCTATAATCATAAGAAAGACATATAGATTAACAGTTTTCTTGCTAGAGTAAATTAACATCAAGAAGAAAATTTATATATTCTAAATTATGTCCCTACTTAGTGACTTTAATCATTTGTGAAAAATTTTCTGTTATTTTTGTTACATCATTTTATTATGATCCAAAGCATATATGTGTGGAGATAGATATAGATATATATATATATATATACCTATATGTATATAGGTATATATGCACACATATATACATATAGGTATATATGCATATATACCTATATGTATATATGTATATATGCACACATATATACATATATACACACATAAATATGCTTTGGATCATAATAAAGAAGGGTACACATATGTTTTATTTATACATACATGTATTATACACATATATGTATATATGTATGTATCTACTCCTTTTTGTGATTTTTTCTTTCTCATTACTATTCTGAAGCTATTAAACAGTTCAAATAGTTCTTTAATTGATTCCCTATGCATTTTGTAAACATGCCATCACATTGCCTGAAAGCAGGAATAATTTTGTCCTTGCTTACCCATGTCTTTATTGAGAAAGCTTCTTGTTTCTAGTATTTTTTTTTATCACAAATAGTGCTAGGAACACAGACATATACATATATATGTGTACATATATTTATATATGTGTGTGATATATACATAAACATTGGTTTATTGATTTTGAAGTAATACATTCAAAAGGATGAGGTTGAAAATTTGCACAGAGTTTATTTGGTATTGTATTATTAATAGCATAATTTCCAAAGGGGAAGTACTAGAAGTTTTCCTACTATGAGCACAGAAAAACAAGGATATTCTCTCTCCTCTCTTTATTAAAAGTTCTAGAAATGTTAGCTATAGTAAAAAAAAAGAGTTGAAATTAAAGTATAAGCATGAGTATGGAGATAAAATTATCTCTATCTAGATAATCAACAAAGAAAATAATTGGCATGATTAATAGATTCAGAATAGTTGCAGAATAAAAAATAAATCCACAAAAATAATCGATATTCATATACAGTATTAATAGTAATCAATTCAAAGAAAAATCAATTCAAAAATACAGTTTATAAAATACTTGGAAATTAATCTATGCAGACATATGAAAGATTTATGTAAGTACAACTTACAGAAATAAAGGAAAACTAAAATAATTGGAGTAACAGCCAATGCTTGTAGTTGATCCATATCAATATCATAAAATGATAATAATATAATACCTAAATTCATTTACAGATTTTTTGCCATACCAATCAAGTTACAGTATAGGATTAGATAAATTGAGAACAAAATTCATTTTTAAGAAAAATAGGTCAAAATTTTAGAGTAGAATAGTGAAAAGTGGGAATGAAGGGAGCATTGCCTTACCAAGCTTCACACTATATTATAAAGTGGTTATCATTAAAACTTGTTGATATTCAGGTTTCAAACTATACTACAAAGTCATAATCGTCAAAACAATTTGGTACTGGGTAAGAAATAGAGACGTTGATCAATGAAATGAATTAGGTACAAAATATATGGAAGTAAATGAGCACAGTAGCCTAGAGTTTGATAAACCCAAAGATGCCAGCTATTGGGACAAGAACCTACTATCTGACAAAACTATTAGAAAAACTAGAAAGCAATCTGGCAGAAACTGGGTATAGACCAACATCTCACAACATATACCAAAGGAAGCTCCACATAGGCATGGGATTTAGTCATATAGGGTGACATCATAAACAAATTAGAGGAGAACGAAGAAATTACTTCTCAGATCTATGGAAATGAGAAAAGTTCATGAACAAATAAAAGACAGAGAGAGTCACAGGAGGTAACATGGATAATTTTGAATACATAACATTAAAAAGTTTTTAGACAAACAGAAATAATTAGAAGAGAAGCAGGAAAAAATCTTTGAAGCAAGTTTATCTAATAAAGGTCTCATTTCTAAGATATACAAGGAACTGACTCAAATTTATAAGAATAAGAGTCATTCTCCAATTAAGAAATGGTCCCAGGATACAAATAGGCAGTTTTTAGAGGAAGAAATACAAGTTATGAATGGCCATATGAAAAATGCTCTAAATCATTTATTATTAGAAAAATAAAAATACCTCTGAGGTACTGCATCATACTCATCAGATTGGTAAAGATGAAAGAAAAGGAAAATGACAAATGCTAAAGGAGCTATGGGAAAACAGGTGTACTAATGTTCTTTTGGTGGAGTTGTGAAATGATCTACCTATTCTGAAAAGTAATTTGTAACTATGCCCCAAATGTTATGAGATGGCACTTACCATTTGACCCAGTTACACTGCTGCTACATCTGTACCCCAAAGAGATGAAAGAAAGAGGAAAAGAAACCATATGTACAAACATATTTATAGCACCTCTTTTGTGGTAGCAAAGAATTGGAAACTAAGTGGTTTCCCCCTAAATAAGGAAATGGTTGAACAAGTTATGATGGGAAGTTGATGAAGTACTCTAATTCTGTAAGAAATGATGAAGTGGATGGCTTCAGAGAAAGCTGGGAATATTTGTATGAAGTGATGAAAGTGAAGTGAGCAGAACCAGGAGAACCCTTTTTGCAATAACAACAATATTATAAAAACAAATTTAAAGGACTTAAGAACTCTTAACACAATGACCAACCATAATTACATAGGCTTTGTAATGAAATATGCTACCCACCTCAGATAGACTCATTGTTCAGATTGTGGAATATACATATGTACATGTACATATATACACACATATATATATCTATGAACATGCAAATGGGAGAATTTGACTATACGTGTATTGGGCTTTGTTTTTCTTGTTTAATCAATAGTTGGAGAGTATAAAAGAGAGAATCCAGAGCTGAAAATAAAATAAAATTAATTTTAAAAATTCAATCCTGTTTTTAAAAAATAGAAAACTCAGGGAACAGACTAGATAAGCAAGAACTGGAGCAGGGGGCGGGGAACGGGAGGGCTTAGAAGACATTTATCCATAGGCTAATAAACTCCAGAATATAATTTATTGAGAAATTTAACTTGAACTTCTGAGCAAAGCAGTTTGGCAAACATTTTATACCATATACCACAACAAGCTCCAAGGAAGTACAACCCTAATATAGATGGTCATATAGTTTTGAAATTAGAAAATAGAAGGAGATATGTTTTGTAGCTTTGGCTAGGGGAAAAATTCTTTTAAAAAATTTAATCACACCAAGGATGAGTTGATCATAAAATAGAAAAACAGAAAAGTTCAATTTTATAAAATTATAAAGCTTTTGCAGAAGCAAAAAGAGAAACTATCAAGTGGAAAAATGATCTTTCAATAAAATCACAGTAATAAAAGACTAATAAGTAAAATAAAAGAGATATAAATATACAACTGAACCTTTCCTCTAATAGATAAGTTGCAAAAAGATATGAAAAAGTTTCAAAAGAATGAATCATTATAGGAAAACAATCTACATATCACTAAGAAAAATGTAAAAAAAAATTCTTAATGTTTGTCACCTCATACAGACCGAAGTCAGTACATTTCATTGATTCAGGCTTGTAGTTAGAATGTAATGAAATACTTTTAGGCCATAAAGTTCAATAAAAACAACTTAATAACAAAGAATCAAAAGGATATAATTTCAAAGTTAAAAAATTTTCAAATAAATGTATATTCCCTTAACCCTCCATATTTACCATGATAATTGGCTACATTAGGTTGGAAAGGCATTCATTCTCACTGGTCACTGGAAATTATACCAAACCTCCAACATTAATGCTCCATAAACTGTCTTTCATGCCTAAAAGAGATAAAAGCAATGATGATTCCAAGAACAGCCTTTATGCCACCTTAAAGTGAAACCAAGTAAGTCTACATGAAACAAATGCTTCTACAATAACCTAGAGCTTGGAAATATGGTCCCAAAAATCTTTAAAGGGACCTTAAAATAATTTTAAAGCAATACTAACATAATGGCGGGCAGCTACGTAGCACAGTACCACTCCTTGAGTCAGGAAGACTCATCTTCCTGAGTTCAAATCTGGCCTCAAGAATTTAGTAGCTGGGTGACCCTGGGCAAGTCACTTAACATTGTTTGCCTCAGTTTCCTCATCTACAAAATGAGCTAAAGAAAGAAATGGCAAATCACTACAGTATCTTTGTCAAGAAAACCCCAATTAGGGTCATGAAGAGTCAGACACAACTGAAAACAATTGAACAATATCAAAAACATAAATAACACTGATGGGAAAAGTAAATAAATTTTAAATAACATTTTAAAAAACCAGAAGCATAAGATAATACGTTCTTCTAAAAAGGTATAACTCACGTGGCAAGGATAATTTGAAAGGCTACATAGAGTAGATGTCCTGCTATTAAAATGAAAATGATGGCAAACAACAGCATCAGGAACATCAGTGATACCTACAACAGCATCACCAGTCCCCATAACAAGTTTGGAAAAGATAATTTCACTTTCTTTTTTTTTTAATATAACTTTATTTATTTTTAGTTTTCAATATTCACTTCCACAAGTTTTTGAGTTCCAAATTTCTCACCCCTCCCCCCAGCCCAAGATGCATGCATTCTGAATACCCCTTCCCCTGTTCTGCCTTCTCTTCTATCTCTCCCCCCTCCCTTCTCTTATCCCC